CAAAAGCCAGATATTGGTGTTTAGTACTTGAGCTTGCATGACCAAGTTCCAAAGTTCCATCATATTTGATTGAAGAGGAGGAAAGCTCTGAAATAAGTAGATTTTGAATTGAGAGTAAAGCCTTTCTTTTTTCCAGTTATTTAATATATATATATGATTAGGGTAAGTGAATAAAAGTTTTTTTTCATTGTTGAAGCTAAGAAATTGCAGTATTGTTTACCAGAATAAGAAATAACATATTTATGGAGTTATGTCTGCCTGTGTTTGTATCTGTCTGCAAGGGTATGGATGTATATATGAGAAAGATAGGAGTGAGAGTGTGTGCATTTATTTGCATACATAATATTTATCTTTAGAGAGATATATATGTGTATTTTCCCCAAGACATGTGTCAATAAATCATGTCTTTAGATTTGTAGACACTTTTTATGGAGAATTCTTATTAACCCAGTGCCGCCGGGCATGGCATGTACGTACATGCCATGGCCACTGTGAGTTTGCTTTATTAATTATTTTTACGCATAGATGGCTACACTTGTACTAAGTCACCAATGAGCCAATTATGAGTACTACCTGTCTCACCCGATTACCCTTTTCCAAGATTTACGAAAATACTTGACATTATCTTACATTGTTATTAATGTTTATAACATTATAGTAATTATAATGTCTATGATAAAAATAGCACCATCAATATTCATTGTGTTGGTAAAAAAAAACTTTTTTCCCATCAAAGTAAAAAAAAAACACGTTTTTCCCATCAATTCAAGGAAAGGTGAAATCAAGTAAGGTCACAAGGTCTGCTAACTGACTCCTTTGTGGCTAAGTACTTGCAGAGCCATCTATGTGCAGAGACATATCACAAGAAAAAAAGAAAGACATTTTCCTGGCAGCATTGGCTTAAGGGAGGGGGTGGGATGTGTTCAGTGGTATTAATTAGCTCAGAATTTTAGGGTGAATGTGATGCTTTTGCCGTCCCGCTTCATCTTATTATTGAATCCAGAGCATAGTTTGTGAAAAGCTTATCATATTCAGTTTTTATGCTTGGGAGGTTGGAAAGGGATTGTCTTTGAAAGTCAAGGGAATTACAGTGTCCAATTTTTAATTTTATTGTTGTTTTGTTGTCATTGTCATTGTCAATATTATTGTTATTGTTATAGCTGGAATAATCATCATCATCATCACTTTCACTATTATTATTTTGTTGCTGTTGTTGTTAATGTTGTTGTTATATATCTTACTGTTTACTTTTTTAGGGTTGTTTAGAGTATTTGAAATATATTATTCTTTGCAAGTTGGAAGTTAGAGTATAATATGGATATAGAAAGAATTTCTTTGATTGTGATCCTCATAATAGACTACACCAGAAAACCTAACACATACACAAACACATTGTATATATTTAGTTAGTTTTTTTGTTTTTTTTATACTTATATCTGATTGTTTTTCAAAAGTTCCAGATAATTTTACATTTAAAATAAATTGATATTGCACTAATCAGAAAAGAAGATTTTCGTAGTTTTGTTAGGTAGTAATCAACATATTCTTGTCTTTCCTTTTGTAGAAGAGCCTAAATGATTCAAGGTAATCCATTCATACTAGATATGTAAAGATAATAGTGTATTCCTTGGGAATTATATTTATACTAACTATGTTGAAAATCATAAACCAAAGTGTTTTGGCAAGGTAATTTGCAAGACCATGTGAAAGCTGTCAATTTAATCCAGTGCTGTTTAAAACATCTGCTGTAGAGATACCAGTCATGTCTCAAAATTGCAGTGCAAGTTTATTGTGTCTAAAAAGAAAAGAAAGGAAGAAAGAAAAAGAAAAAGGTGTCTGGACCTTTTATTTTTTCCCACTTGTTAAGTACCACATGATAGATAAATGTCATGAGTGTACAGTATGTGGGTTAAACATTGTCCTTTAGTCACTGCAAATTCTTGTTACCATACTGAATGATATTTCCTTTTGTGAATGTAAATTATGCTGTAAAAGGTGTAATTCCAAGAGTTTCATTATACTCTGTAATATTTGGAGAGTTATATTGTGATAGAGATAAGCAAATATTATTGAACTATCAGTGAGAACAAAATGTACTCTTTATGTTTACCAGATTCAAGTCTACTTTTTTTTCAAAAGTGTTGTTATAATGAGTTGGAACTGTCAGTTTATGATATTTATTGGATTTGATTTTGCAAAACTATTGTAGTTCTCAATAATTGCATGTTACTTTATGGTTCTGAATCTAGGAAGCTTTTATATTCATACAGATATCATATATATATATATATATATATATATATATATATATATATATATATATATATATATATATATATATATATATATATATATATATATATGAATGATATATGATATATATTATATATATTTTATATATATATATTATGTATATTTTATATATATATTATATATATTTTATATATATTTTGTATATATATTATATAGATTTATATATATATATGATATATATAATATATGTATGAATATATATATATATATATATATATATATATATATATATATATATATATATATATATATATATATATATATATATATATATATATATACATATTATATATATGTGTGTGCATATATGTATGTATGTATGTATATATGTAGATTTACACATTTATTTATCTATAGATGTATATATATATATATGTATATATATATATATATATATATATATATATATATATATATATATATATATATATATATATATATATATATATATGTAGAACATGTGAATATATGTATATATACTCCAAAACCTTACATATACGAACAATATAATTTGTTAATACATTCATATATTCATGCATTTAGTTATATCTTTTAGGCTACAAATATGCTACATGTGTGTATTGTCAAGTTTGTGAACTAACTGATAATTGTAGATCACATCCTTGCATCTTACTACCTGCTGAGAAAAAAAAGAAAGAAAAAAAAAGAGAGAGAGAGAGAGAGAGAAAGGGTGCAAAGTAATCTTCTTAACAGAAAGTAGAGGTTTCATTATACCTATTTTTGTTTTAGATTAAGTATTTTGTGATGGAAAAGCTATCTTAATGGTAACCTCCAAATTGTAAAAAAAAAAAAAAAAAAAAAAAAAAAAAGAAGAAAGAAAGAAAGAAAAAAAAAATAGGTGGAGAAGGAAGAGAAAGAAGAGGATGAGGAGGTGGAGGAGGAGTGGGAGCAGGAGCAGGTGGAGGAGGAGGAGGAGGAGGATGGAGGTGGAGGAGGAGCAGGAGGAAGAAGTGGATGGACATGGAAGTTAAGGTGATTGAGAAGTTGGAGAGATTTTGGAGGAGGAGGAGAGGAGGCCCCAAGCTTATAGAAACTACAGAGAGATTAGAGGAGGAGAAGGAGAGGTTGACCCTTAAGCAGAGAAAGGGAGGTGTTGAAGGCATGGCTAAGCCTTTTGACCAAAAACCCCTGTGGTGATTTGATGGAGGAGTAGGTGGAGGAGGAGGAGGAGAGGCCAAGCTTATAGAAACTACAGAGAGATTAGAGGAGGAGAAGGAGAGGTTGACCCTTAAGCAGAGAAAGGGAGGTGTTGAAGGCATGGCTAAGCCTTTTGACCAAAAACCCCTGTGGTGATTTGATGGAGGAGTAGGTGGAGGAGGAGGAGGAGGAGGAGGAGGAGGAGGAGGAGGAGGAGAGGAGGCCCCAAGCTTATAGAAACTACAGAGAGATTAGAGGAGGAGAAGGAGAGGTTGACCCTTAAGCAGAGAAAGGGAGGTGTTGAAGGCATGGCTAAGCCTTTTGACCAAAAACCCCTGTGGTGATTTGATGGAGGAGTAGGTGGAGGAGGAGGAGAGGAGGCCCCAAGCTTATAGAAACTACAGAGAGATTAGAGGAGGAGAAGGAGAGGTTGACCCTTAAGCAGAGAAAGGGAGGTGTTGAAGGCATGGCTAAGCCTTTTGACCAAAAACCCCTGTGGTGATTTGATGGAGGAGTAGGTGGAGGAGGAGGAGAGGAGGCCCCAAGCTTATAGAAACTACAGAGAGATTAGAGGAGGAGAAGGAGAGGTTGACCCTTAAGCAGAGAAAGGGAGGTGTTGAAGGCATGGCTAAGCCTTTTGACCAAAAACCCCTGTGGTGATTTGATGGAGGAGTAGGTGGAGGAGGAGGAGAGGAGGCCCCAAGCTTATAGAAACTACAGAGAGATTAGAGGAGGAGAAGGAGAGGTTGACCCTTAAGCAGAGAAAGGGAGGTGTTGAAGGCATGGCTAAGCCTTTTGACCAAAAACCCCTGTGGTGATTTGATGGAGGAGTAGGTGGAGGAGGAGGAGAGGAGGCCCCAAGCTTATAGAAACTACAGAGAGATTAGAGGAGGAGAAGGAGAGGTTGACCCTTAAGCAGAGAAAGGGAGGTGTTGAAGGCATGGCTAAGCCTTTTGACCAAAAACCCCTGTGGTGATTTGATGGAGGAGTAGGTGGAGGAGGAGGAGGAAGAGGGTGAAGAATTACTTGCACAAATTAACACATATCTGCTCAGAACACCTAAGGTGGTTTCTTATTACTTCTGCACATATAATTTTAATGAGGTGGAGGTTATTTTTTTCCATTTTATTTGGAGTTGCCTGTGATATGATATCCTCTGTACTGTTTCTGAAGGTTACTTGAATTCTTTTTTGAAAAAGAGAAAAAAAAGGAGAGAAAAAAAAAATAACGAAAAAAAGAGATGCAAAAAAACAAAAAACAAAAACAAAAACAAAATAAAAAAAAAAGATGCCAACAAAAGAAAAAAAAAGTAAAAAAAAAAAAGCAAAAAAAAAAAAAGGTAAAAAAAAAAAGAGAGGAAAAAAAGATGAAAAAAAGAAAAAACAGAAGCCCTCAAAAAAAAAAAAAAAAAAAAAAAAAAAAAAAAAAAAAAAAAAAAAAAA